AAAAAAAAAAAAAAAGAATCAGTAGATTCACCCAGGGTGGACAGGTTCCAGCAGAGCATTCAGTCTAAGGCAGACTAGAAAGAAATGCCTGGTAATCTACATTCAAAAATTAACCAATGAAAATCCTATGGAGCACAGAATATTGTCTGAAACATCAACTTACTTACTCTGGACATATCATCAGGAGGGATTGATTGCTGGTAAAGGACATCATATTTGTTGAAGTGGAGGGCAAGTAATGTGCTATGAGATGGATCAACATAATGTTAGAAAACAGTGGACTCAAGCATACCAAGTATCATGAAGAGGGTACAAACTGGGCAATACTTTGTTCTGTTATATATGGGGTCATGATGAGGCAACTCAACAGCAAGTAACAACCACCCCTTAACCATAGAACTCTTTCTAATATCACTTTAAAAGCCAGTTAATTTGGTTCCAGCCAAGATAACAAGTTTACTGACTTGTCTACAGAGAAAATGAGAAACATCTAGCTGTATACAAAGTCATTTTTTCTGTTTTCACACTACAAGGCCAGAAGTTCAAACCCACCAGCCACTCTTCAGAAGCCCTAGACAGAGGTGCTATGAGTTGGAACTGACTTGCCAGCACTTAACAACCACAATGTTACTGTGATACACCAGACAGTCATTGATTTTAAAGGCACACTAAGACTCATGACTCACCTTACTCTTGAATTCTCATGACCAACTCATTCTTTCTTTTGCTTTGAACACTGGATATGTTGGAAAGATTGTCCAAATTCACTTGTATAGTCAGCTGAAGTACTTCAAGTCAGTCCGTGTTCCTTGAGTAGATTAGCTGTCTAATATTTCTGTTTTTACTTGTGGCTTGCTGCTATGTTCTTGCTAGTTGTACTGGAAATAAAAAGGAATGTCTTCTTCCTCTCAATTTGATACCTCATACTAATATTTTGAGAGATTATAATATAGGAGATGAACTAATTAGATTGTGCATTCATTTCATTTTTTAGTAAAAAATGCCTTGTTTGCAGAATGGACAGTAAGTTGTTTCTCCTTTTCTTTTCTCCTGAACAGTTTGAAGAAGGCATACTTGATGCATGCCTGTATGTGATGGACAAAGCCCAAATGGACCTCTCTGGCAGAGGGAATCCCATCAAAGTCAGTCGAGTTGGATCTGCCATGGTAAGTAACAATTTATGAGTACTATAATCTATGGTACCTGTCATTTGCCTCAGTATAGATGTTAGTTCATTGAGCTGTTGAAATGGTGACTAATTCTCTGACTTAGAGAATTCCAATTTATGACATCCAGTATGTTGTTAAGTGCTGTTGAGTCAGTTCTGACTTATAGTGACCCTGCATGGGGACAATGAGGAACAACTGATAGGTTTTGAACCACTGACCTTGCAGTTAGAAGTCCAGTGCCTTTCTTTCAGCACCAGTCCAGTGCTTATCTTACAGTACCACACCAGGACTCCAACATCAAGTATAGCTATAGGAATTTTGTAAGCTTATCGTATGTGCTAGAACAGAGTTATTTTATCAGTACTGGGTGCTTCTTGGACTTTAGACAAATGATGATAGGTAACATAGTACTTGTTGTTAAGTGCCATCAAGTTGGTTCCAACTCACAGCACCAAGCAGTGACTGTTGAGCTTGAACTGCCAATCTTGCAGTTCATACTGAACCTTGCAGTGCAGCTCATTAACCCACAGTGCCACTCCAGGACTCCAACATAATACTACAGATATATTAATCTTAAGGACCTCTTGTCTCAGGACATAGAAGTGATCATGACTAAATCAATCAGTTGGTCAAAAGGCACACACACACATGTGCGCACACACAAGACATCCAAGACCCAGCTTTTCTGTTTACACACCAATGGTAATAGTAAAGAAACAAATTGCTCTATCTAATCCTAGTTTCTCTTATAACCATACGTCATCATAGTGCCATATAGTATTTATTCATCACAGGAGGGAGAAAGAAATGGCAGTCTGATTCCCTAAAGCTTTATAGCCTCAGAAACCCTATAGGAAGTTCTACTGTCTCCTGTAGTGTTTCTATGACTTGACAGTAATGGGCTTGGGGTTTGTTTGTTTTGTTGTTGTTGTTGTTGTTGTTGTTATTCACAGGAGTCTCATAACATAAGTAGGCTGGGCACCACTCATACCATTTTACAACTTAGGACATAGCAGGCAAAGGTCAGTTATAAAGCCTTAGCTGAATCCAGGTCTACGTACTTTTTGCTTTCCACGCTGCTCTCTGTGGAACATCCTGAAATCTCTTTGGGAATACAGAACTCCTACAATGGCACAACTTGCTAAAAGAGGTGGCAGTTGCACGTTACCAAGTCAGTTCCATCTCATAGTGAGCTGGTGTACAGTTTCTCAGGCTATAAACCTTTATGGTATCTGAAAGCCCCCCGTTTCTCCTGCATGACTGGTAGATTCAAACTCCTGACCTTTCAGTTAGCAGCTCAAATCGTAATCCACTATGCAACCAGGGCTCACACTCTCCTAAAGACTCAGACGTGGTAGGTGAATTTAATGTGACAAGTAGGCCCCTTGCCATTCTGGAATGTGCTACACAGCACAAAGAGTCATCTTCTTGGTGCATAAAAATAAGTGGGGTCTTCAAAAGTTCAGAGAAAAGCGAAATGCAAAGATAATGGAATTTTTCCATGAACTTTTTGAAGCATCCTCATATATAATATCCAATTCATGAGTTCAGTATTACTGAAGAAACTTTCGGCTTGGTAGTATTTTATATTATTCAAAGACCAGAGCCAAAAAAGAAAAGAAAACAATGTTATTAAAAATATCTTTAAAGTTTCTAAAATCCTCTGTCAGGAAAAATTTTATCTATGAGTTTGGTTTATGTATTCTTTTCAGTTAAATAAAGTCAATATTATTAACTTAAAATATTGTTGTTGTTGCTGTCAGGTGCTATTGAGTCGGAACCGACTCATAGCGACCCCAAGCACAGCAGAACGAAACAATGTCCGATCCTGGACCAACCTCACTACCGCTGCCGTACTTGAGTCCATCAATGATGTCACCTGGCCAATCCATCTCGTTAGTGTGATAATCAGACTAAATATTAGTCTGATAATTATGAGAAATGTAATTTGTAGCTCACCAACTGCTCCTTGGAAACCCTATACGGGGTCGCTATGGGTTGGAACTGACTCGACGGCATTTAACAACACCAACAAGCCTCATATAAATTTAATAAATAATGGAACTTAAAATGTTAAAGCAAAAGCTAAGTTATACTAACCATTTTCTGCTGTTTACATGATAAAAAGACAATGAATTCTAAAATATTTTTTAAATTCTTTTTGAGAACTATTTATCACAACATACATCAAAATGCTGTTGATTTTCTATTTTTTCCCATTTTTTCCTCGTTGAAGTTACCAGGCTAGGTTTGTCATGGAATGGGGAAGTAACAGCTAACAGTGTTAGAAAATTAATGAGTTCCTTTATAAGCATCCTAAAATGGCCTGCTCATCATCTGAAACCCATTCATTCACTTGGTGCACTCTTGCTAAGCCAGGAATCACTGCATAGCACAACCCAAGCAAGAGCAAAGCAAATAGGAAGCAGTTCACCTAATACTGTCTCCAGTGGTACTTGGTCAAGTAAAAGCTGTTAATTCTAGAATTAAGCACATAATCCTGATGCAAATTGCCTTGAAATTTCATTAATCATAAAAAGTCCATGAAGCACTAATTCTGAAAATGCATAACCCAATTATAAGGCTTATAACTAGATAAAGAGGATCTGTTTGGCAAATAGTTTGTTTTGGGTTTAGGTTTACTATTGGGGGTATAATGAGGAGGGGCTTTGGGTATTAGATGCAGAGGCCCTGCCCTGAGCAGCTAGAGCAAGAGCTCCATCACTGGACTGCTAACCACACATTCAGAAGTTCAAAACCACCAGTCACTCTTTGTAAATTTGTAATTCATATACAGGGTCGCTATGAATTGGGACCATCTCCATGGCACTTAATAACAACAACCCCAGAAAAATGCATGGTAGTTTTCAGCACCCTTTTATCTCTACTACTTCCTTCAATCCTTTGGAATAGTTTTGTAACTCTTTCCAAAATCTATTCATATATAATGATTTTCTTAAACTAAGGTATTAATCCTCAAAAGAAGCTGAAAAGGATGAAACTTTAAAAATATATTATTTTCTGATCATTCAGACCATCACCTTCCTGTTCACAAATTCTAGAACTCTATCAAAAATTTGCTGAGTGAGTTAAGCAAAGACTAGGGTGATTTAAATAAAATTTAAAAAACCCTCAAATTTATCAATTAAAGATTTGCCTTAAAATATGAGAAGATTATTTAGGAAGCCCAGAAAAAAAAAAAAAAGTGTTTTGAAATTGGGAGAGTCTAGCCAGAACTCCTGCTCAGAGGATGATTGATGGCCCTGTGTGTTTGCCTTAGAGGATAGCCAGCCCTCTGGTAGAACAGACATTGCCTACACTGTTGGTTTGGAAACTTTCTCAAAGACCTTCCCAACCTGGTCACTGAGGCTAAAATTCCTCTCACAGGGTCAAAATACTAGACCACAGTTACATGAATATCATGACATGCAAATTCTTCAGGAGGACAAATACATTCTTTTCACCTCTAAGCCAAGGTGAAAGTGGTAAAAGGCATAATTTTCAAGTGTTGCCTAGAAGGGTGAGGATAGAGTTTTGTGGTCCTGTAAGGACACCAGAAGAGGTAAATGGAGTGGAGTAGGAGGCAGAAGCAGATGACTGGGCCCCAAAGACAAATTCATTTATTGTGATAATGACAAAATGCACCACTTGATATTGGAGCACGAACGATAACTTAAATGTGCAAACTTCCTATGACTTTTAACAGAATTTGGGCTTTAAATGCATAACCCCAGATATAAATCTTTATTGTCTAGTATATATGGGCTTGAGTAACTCACCAAATCCTGTTTCTCTACCTCAGTACAACTGACACTTTAGGTTGAATAATTCTGTTGTGGAAATTGTCCTGTGCATTGCAGAATATTTAATAGCAGTATCCTGGCTTCTACAAACAGATGCCAATAATCTTCTACTGTTTGTATATCTTTTCCCTCCCCACAGTTTGTGACAAAACATGTCTGTACGTGTCACCAAATATCCACTAGGGCTCAAAATCACCCCTAGTTGAGGACCTCAACATGAAACCCCCTGTGACTCAATTTCTAAGCTTATAAAATGCAAATAATACTCTCTTCTTGCCACATAGGGAATCTATGTTCTTAACTTTTTTAAAATCCATGGTTTTCATTCTTCTGCTGAAGGGAGAGGGAATGTTGTATGGGAAGAGCCTTTGCCCCATGTCAAGAGATCTGACCTCTGTCTGGATTTGGCACTAACTTTCTGTGTGACCCTATACAAATAGTTTAACCTCTCCAGGTCATATTCATATTTGAAAGGAAAAAATGTACTCAAATCTCATGTATTATTCCCAGTGCAGCAAGAATATTAGTTTTTCTTAAAAACCAGGACTTCAAACTAGTTCTTCCTACTTCAGTCTTAGCTTACTCAGCAAAATCAGAATGACCATGAATTTATAAAATATGAGTGAATTGAAACAGTAAACAGAATGGAGAAAGTACAGATTGATATCCTGCTAGAAATCTATTTTCCCTCTTAGGAAACAAAGGCAGTATGTATATTGCATAGCAGCCAAATCTCTTGACTGCCACAGTCAGAAACAATGACGCCCAGCTCATGGATGGCAGTTGACTGCACCTCTGTGAATGTGTGTCATTCTCTAGTCCTGACACTAATTGAATCTATCACATCAGGGTCCTGAAAGGACTCAGTACACCTTACCTAGTCTCCTATTCCAGGGTTTCAACAGATAATTTTTCCTTTTCTGGTTATCATTCTGTTTCACCAAACTTCTAAAGAAATTCAGATCCTAATCCATCCACCTATGGATAGCTGATTTTTAGCAAAAGGGCCAAAAATCATTAAAAGTGAAAGAGAGGCTCTCTATGACAAATGATGCTAGCAAATTGGGATATACATTTGAAGAAAGTGAAACAGGACCATATCTCACATCAAATACAAAAACAAACTCAAGACGGATCGAAGAACTAAGGTTTACTATAAAGACCACCAATGAAAAACATAGGGACAAGTTTAGG